TGGAATCTTCTATCTCCTTCCTTACCTAATGTTGCTGTGTGGACATGAATGTGGACATGCATGCACATTTGTACATGTGAAGGCCAGGGATTGATGTAGGGATTCTTTTTCAAACAGTCTCTACCTCAATTTTTGAGATAGAATATCTCACTGAATATGGACCTCATGGATTTGTCAAGGCTAGTCTCTGCTTTGACAGAGCTGAGATTACAGATACAAAACTCCATGCCCAAAGTTTTAATGTGTGTTCAGGGGGAACAGAACAAGATTCTTCATATTTATGGGAAAACACTTTACAGACTGAGTGATCTCTCCAGTGTCTACTTACTTTGTTTAAAATAAATGTGAGACTATAATAGAGTGTAATCCAAAAACTTTCCATAGAAACTAAGAGATGAATTAAAACACTTTATACACTGTATGACATAAGTTAAATCCAATAAATATTACCTAATTCATAACATTTTCTCATTAGTTAATTATGACAGTGGTAAGGTTGAAAATCAATTTGAAGTTAGTCATTAATACTAAAATTTTTATACATCAGGAGAAATTAGACTATGTAGGTATGAAGTAATATGGATGCCAATCGGGGCTAATGCAAAAAAAAGATTGTTCAGAAATATGAACCAAAGGTTTAAAGACATGAATTGTTTGCAGAATTTAACACACAATATTGGGTTAAAAAGAAAGAGGAACAACAAAGTAGTAGCCACAGAACGAAGACTTTTCTATGAGTGAATGTAGGACAAATGGCCACAGGGAATAATAATTTTGTTATGTATCTGGGAAACTATCCAAGAAATCTGTCCAGAAACACTCTACTCCTTTAAGTCCCAGTTTTCTATTAGAGAGGGTTAAGTAGAACAAATCTGACTTAGAAGGACAAAAAGTGCATGATATTTACACACAGATTGGAGCTTTAAAATGATGTATGTGTGCATATATAAAAACAAGTAAACTCATTTTACTAATGTTATCCAATCAACTTGAAACTTAAAGGTGTAGGTTGTGACTACCTTGCATGTTAACAATAAACTGTATACTTCAGAACAATTAAGAGAGTAAAATATTGATGAATTATTTGTATTCTTAAAAGTTTTACCAACTAATTTCTAAGGAGGTGACACTTACAATTCAGCCACCAGCTCTTAATAGGTGAGTCGTTCCCATTCAAGGAAATTAGGAGAGCCCTGAAAGGAACAAGCCCGTTTTGAGATTTAACTTACGGAGAAATGCCTAATTTCAACACCTGTGAAGAATCTAACCAGATTGCCACTTCTGTTCCGCTCTCTCACGCTCTTCAAAGCATTTCCTCTCATACCCAATAGCACGTGCACTGATGCAGATCTCAGAATTCAGGAAAACTGGCACTTACCCAGAAACTTTTCAGATTTTTTTCCCTTAAAAATGTGTTTTAACGATTAAAAAAAAGAAAGAAAGAAATGGAGAAAATGTGCCTGGCATTCAATTAATCTTTAAAACACAAAAACTTTCTCATGGTTTATCTAATAGCTGCTATAGTTACAACCTTTTAAAACAAGCATTATTGCTTTTCCATTCTAACAATGGACATATGCATAAAGAATGGTATTTACCCAATGTTTTCTAGGCTATGTACACACTGACAGCTTAGTTGATGCTCAGGCAAGCTGTCTCCTAGGGATATCATAGGGATCTCCTAGGGCAGTACCACTGAATTCACAGAACCGTCTCCTAGGGATTTACTGCTACTTGAATTCTAATAATGTGGGTAAAGATTGTGTGTGCCCAGTGATATTAACAGAGACGACACTGAGTAAACACACCCTTAGAAATTCTTTTGAGGAAGGACTTACTAGTGCTGGAAAATAATATAGGTCAAATAGGTTATAATTCAATGTTGCATACAATATTTATTTTGAAGCTTTTAAAAAGGCAAGGGGGGTATTTCTATCCCTCTATTAAGAAAACGGAGGCAATACGAGATGGGAAATTGTTACCATGACCTCATTCCAGCTTCCTCTTAGCTCTGGGTCTCCATGACAAGAATTCAGATGACGACCACAGAGCATAGTGTAGAAGTCAGACACAATGTATTACTGAGGAGTGTAAACACTCTATACAGTGAGTGTGGGCAGAGGCCAGAAGGTCACTGTAAAGGAAAGCTCTGTCAGGGAGATCATTGTGCTGACGTACGTGCTCAGGAAGGCTTGGTGGGCTTCAATCTCTGCAACAGCTTCTCAGAGGCATTTTCCTGTCTAGGTGATTGACAGGTCTCATTTGATTAAATCTTAAGGGTGGTGGTAGCAATATTGAGGTGATTTACAGAAATAATATAGAAAGGCAGAGGAAATTATGGGGACATAGGAAGTAAAAAAAAAAAAAAATGCCCCTCCTCTGGAGTCTGCTTGAAGTCTTTCACCACCTGGCAGTTAAGGATTCCAGCACAATTAACATTCACCGTGATGGAGGCAGAAAAAATATATTCTTTTTAAAACTGTAAAAGAACAACAACAAAAAAGCCCCAACAGACTGAACACATAAGACTCATGTATGTCCTCACTCTTAATATTTTATGAAGGTCTCACAAGCAAGACTCGTTTAGGTAAAGTTGTCCTAACTTTCTGCACGCCTGCAAGTTGTTTTATATTATCGGTTGCCATCGTACCTATGACTCCACAAGAGCTACCTTTTAATCTCATTGAAATTTCCTAGTGAGCCTATAAAAATAATTGAAAACCCAGTCCAGCATGTACATGGGGCTACAGTAAAGACAATGAATGACGTGTGACTTTCCTGAGAAGTGTACACCCATGTCCTCAGATGAGGTTTACCCTTTCCCCGAGTCCCATTTTTATTAACCTCTATGCTTAAAAAATGTTTAAAAGGCCTTTTAATACACTTCAAGTGGGCTTTGTATTGGATCATATTGAAACTCTTCCCTTCAGCAAAGCCAAGGATCCAGTTATACCTGAGTGGAGGTTTCTGTAAAGAACTTCCCCAGGCTGTTAGAGGCAGAAGCAAGGAGATGTGTTCCCTCCTCTACCACTGACCATATTCCTTTATTCTTTATCAGAAAGCCTCCAGGAATTCTATGATGTTTCAAGCAGTCTGTACAGGATGTTAGTTTCTCCACTCTGCGTCTAAAAAACATTCTGTCATTAATAATGAATCAAAAGTTTTGATTTTACATGCGGGGGAATTATGAGAGAAGGAGGGTTTGTCCTCGGTGATCATCAAGACTGCTATGATCTAACTACTTGATTGAATGCTGTCATGGTGATATTTAATATGTTTGGCTGCTATGGTGGTGCACACCTTTAACCTCAGCACTCTGGAAACATCGGTGGGGACAAAAGACTGGTCTTCAAGTTCTAGGCCAGCCTGGGTAAACAGGAAGTTTCATGGCAACCGGTGTGACACAAAGAACCCTGTCTAAAAAGAATCAGCACAGTGTTTACCAAGTTCATCACTGGTGTGATTTAATCAATTCCCATTGGGAATTTAGTATATGTGACTGGTCACACACTGTAAAAGTAAAATATTTTTAGAATTCTCTCTAAATTTTAAGATGATTTCCCAGCGGTGGACTTTCTAGACCTAAGGAGGTGAAGATTTTAAATAATCTTAAAACATTCTGCTTGTATGGATGGAAAGAACACTGTTCTCACCTCAAAATGGGCTAAGAGTTTATTCTGGAGCCACATATGAGAGACCATAGTCTGGAAACAAAGGCTCAGGCTATTCTACATACCATGTCCCAATCTGTTAATAATTTCATTAAGCTTTTATAGTTACAGAAGATGGCCATAAATCAAGCTACTTTTTAAATACAAGTAAAGCAGTTTAGAAAGGCAGGCAATTTGGGAGCTCCTTACCCAGTCGGGTTGCTGACTTTTTTCAGCAGATAAGCAATAATTTCATCACACTTAATGGATGCTTAAGGCTTTTCCTCCTTTCTAGCCATAAATCTGTTAATTTTCTAGGAATCTCACCAAAAACACCAGTTAAGAGGAAAACTGCTAAACCCCTTGAGCAACCCAGCTGCTCCTGGTTTCAATTTATCAGATTATAATCCTACCCAGACATCTTTTGAGCCACTTTGTGTTTCATCGATTATCAAAAGGGAAGAAAAATTCACAACCTTTGAAGTTTAACTCTCGAGAACCACCAAAATGATACACATCCACAGTTGCCCCAACTCCTTGTGAGTTATGAACGGGCAGTGGGTAGGTGAGTAGGGGATGGGTGTCTTCAGGACACTCCTTTAACTACTCACCGGTGGATGGGCATTGGGAGAACCACCCTATTGCATGCACAGAATAATAATGTCAACTTAAAAGTACGAAGTCAAAACGAGATCAAAGGAAGACGTGGGGCGGGGGTGTAGCGGAGGCGTTCTCAGTGCAAGAACTCTGAATTTAAATGCAATCCAATACAACGCGTAACGCGTGAGAGATGTGCACCAACCGGCTCATGCCAAACCCGGAGAGGAAGTCTCCCGGCTGCTGCCCCTCTCTAGCACAGTGACAAGGCCGCTGAAAACTGTGACGGCGCACTACTTCCCTTTCACAAAAAAGGAATCAGCCCGATGGAGGAGAAAGGGGAAACCGATCCTTCGTAAGCCATGTGCAATCAAAACGGTTTCCAAACTTGCCGGTCTGGAG